ATACCACTTGTAGGACACGTGGACGCCTAAGAGGGGGGGTGAATTAGGCAACTTAAAAATCTAACTCTAAACTATGGCCTCTTTTTCTAATTCTAGCAAAACCTATGCAAAAGATAATCTATCTAGATGTGCAACTACGGTTTTGCTAGTGCGTTGCTATCTCTACCGCAAAGGATAATAATATGATCAATGTAAATGCGGAAGCTTAAAGAGCAAGGTAGAGATATGCAAACTCCCGTCGACGACTCCGGTATTTTTACCGAGGTATCGAGAAACGCGCAAGCTTCCCCCTAGTCCTCGTTGGAGCCCCTCGCAAGGAATCCCTCGCAAGGGCTAAGCTCCCGGTCGGGTAACTCCGTGGATAGCCTCGGGCCTTCCCCATGCGCAAGTGGGTCTCCGATGTGCCTTCCGGCAAGCCTCTCCCGGATGCTCCCCACCGTCTTCACTATCAAGCTTTCGGCCAAAACGTCACGGGCCTTGTTCCCTTTGGTACACGGTGGCGGCCGCACCACAAACGTGGTTGGTGTGATCTCGCAAGACTTCAAGCCCCTCCGATGTACAACTCTTGTGCTCACAAGCACGGGGTGGCAAGAGGTATGCAAACCTCACTAAACACTAGGCATACACCTAGAGCAAGCGCATAAGCGGTGGTCTAATCAACCTAAGCACTTCGCAAAGCACCTACGCTAATCACCTGATGAAACACTAAGCACTATGTAAGTGGAGATCACTAAAATGGTGTATCAACACCCTTGGTATGTTTCCTCAGCTCCACTATGTTCAAATGGCCGGTTGGGGGTTGTATTTATAAGCCCCACTAAGAAAGTAGCCGTTGGGGTCGAACTCCCGCAATTCTGCTACTGACCGGACGCTGAATTGTCCTGACCGGACGTGTTCGGTCGTCCCGACCGTTGCAGCCGCGAACTACCGATTGGACGCTGCCAGCGTCCGGTCGCCTGCCATCGGACCTGTCCGGTCGCAGTTTTGCGCGCCTAGAACCTCTCTGTACTCGATCGAACGCTGATGCCCTGTGTCCGGTCGATTGCCGCCAGTGTCCGGTCCAGCGTCCGGTCGCCTGTCTGCCGAGCCACCGGTCCAGCGTCCGGTCGCCTCTGTGAGCTCGTTTCTCCGCGATCTTGCGTACGGCTTGGTTCCTATCTTCATGCTTGGACTTTGCTTAATATCTTGGGTCTTCTCTTGTGCTTCTAAGGTCTTGCTTGAGGTGTTGATCATCGGATCATCACGTCGCCTTCGTCCAAGTCACGTCTTGCACCTTATTGGACTACAAAACAAACACTTGCAAATTCATTAGTCCAATTTGGTTGTGTTGGTCATCAAACACCAAAATCCAAAGTAAATGGGCCAAGGGTCCATTTTCCTTACAGGGGGCTCTATTTAAGGCGTGTGGCCGGCTCTAGCTCACTCTCTTGGCCATTTGCATTGACATAGCAACCTTGTGAGCTTAGCCAAAGCCCTCCCACTCATCTCCATCATTGATTCATCATCTTTGTGAGATTGGAAGAGAATCCAAGTGCATTGCTTGAGTGATTGCATCTAGAAGCACTTGGTGTTCGTGTTTCGCTACGTGATTCACTTGTTACTCTTGGTGGTTGGCGCCACCTAGATGGCTTGGAGCAGCGAGGATCGTCGAGCGGAGGTTGGTGATTGTCTCCGGCTCCGATCGCGGTGATTGTAAGGGGTCTTGTGCCTTCCCCGGTGGAGCGCCGAAAGGTAACTTTAGTGGATTTCTCGTGTCATTGAGTTACCTCACTTGTGGGTAGGTTCTTGCGGTGTCCAATTGGGTGGACGAGGTTCATGCAGTACCTCTTAGCCGCTGAACCACCAAGTGGTGGTCGAGACAACGGGGACTAGCGTGCCGGCAAGCACGTGAACCTCGGGAGAAAAATTGGTTGTCTCTAGCCCTTTGGTGTTCTCCCAGTGATTGAATTGGTATTCATCTTGTGATTGGTTCACTCCTTTATGCGGCGGTATAATCACTCTACTCACTCATTTACATTCTCGCAAACTAGTTGTAGCAAGCTTTTTAGTGTAGCTAGAATTGAGAGCTTGCTTTGTAGTTTAAGTTCATCTAGTGGAGCTCTTTAGTGTAGCAAGTGTGAGAGCTCTTAGTGAGTAGTGACTTAGCAAATTGTGTGTCTAGTGATCATAGTAACTAGAATTGTTAGATAGGTGGCTTGCAACCCTTGTAGAGCTAAAGCAAGTTTGCAATTCGCTATTTGTCATACTAATCAAATTGCTCTAGTTGGTTTGTAGATTTTTAAATAGGCTATTCACCCCCCCTAGCCATATTAGGACCTTTCAATGAGCCCATGCACACTTCAGATACCGCATTCCTAGGTTCAAATCACTCCACGATATGAACCTAGCAGCTTTTACACTACATCTACATAACACTGCTAGGGTGTACTCTAGTGGGCCTTCACGATAAGGGATGGGTGAGGATGAATTGCCATGGCGACCCCAAGAAGCTTGGCTTCCAAAACTCCTACTGGATCTGCTTGAGGTGGCCATTTCCACAAGCGATGGCGGCGGGGAAGGACTCCCAGGTGATGGGTGACTACGGATGCAGCAGTGGGAGAGGGGCCGACATCAGGAAGGGCTGCACCACCGCCGGTAGAGACAGCGGCGGCGGACGAACGATGAAGTTCACGGAGGCTAGGGTTCGGGGGAGGGGAATTGTCGATATTTGACCACCGATAGCCTGCCACGGGGGTCCCCGGGGCAGTATGTTCGAGCTTCAGCGTATGCAGAACTCGACGGTTAATGCAAGAGACAGTCGATTTATCCTGGTTCGGGCCCTCAATCTTTGATCGAGTAATAGCCCTACGTCCAGTTCGGCGTTAGCCTTTGCGTTGGATTGATCGTAAAGTATTGTGTTGTACAATTGTTGTCTTGAACTCCCGATCCAAGGAGCCCTGCCCTCCTTTATATAGTCAGGAGGCTAGAGTCCTAGTCGGTTTATAATGAGAGTTGCTAGTAGGATTACAAAGTAATACTGCTACTAAGATTACAGGGGAAGAATCCTAATCAGACTAGGTCTTCTTCCTTCCTTGCATGATACCCTGTGGGTCCCGCACCGACAGGAATTGAGAGGGAGAGGGGGAGCTGAGTGGGCTGGCCTCCTTTTTTTTTTGCCCACGCCGGCATCCTATGTGGCAGTCAACGCTAGCGCAGCGGGGTCAAAACTAGGTCCATGTCGGCAGAAAAAGCCTCGCCCGTGCCCAGTGCAAAAGTGAACGGTTTTGAATGTTGGGGTCATTGGATCAGGCGGTTTTGTAGTTGGGGGTCAAAATTAGACGAACCTGATAGTTGAGGGACCGAAAGCAGACTTAATCTCAAGATGCTTGTAAGGAAAATGGACCCTAGGCCCATTTACTTTGGATTTTGGTGTTTTTTGACCAACACAACCAAATTGGACTAATGAATTTGTAAGTAATTATTTTGTAGTTTAATAGAGTGCAAGACGTGATTTGGACGAAGGGGACATGATGATCCCATGATCAACACCATAAGCAAGACCCTAGAAGCGCAAGAGAAGACCCAAGATATCAAGCAAAGTCTAAGCACGAAGATGGGAACCAAGCCGGACGCAAGATTGCAAAGAAACAAGCTTGGCAGAGGTGACCGGACGTGGCCCTATAAGGACCGGACGTGTCCAGTCAGTTGCTCGGCAACAGCAGGCATCAGCAGCTGTGACCGGACGCTGAGCGAAGTAGTGACCGGATGCGCAGATGACACTATTCTTCGTCACGGCAATGTTTTCAGTGTGACCAGACGCGGTGGCACTGGATGACCGGACGCACAAAGAGCAGCGTCCGATCATGTCCAGAGAGGTTCTAGAGCGGCGCCAACGCGACCGGACGCGTCCGATCGATGATGACTGGACTCGACAGTGCGTCCTATCACTACGCGCGCGCTCAACGGTCAGGATGACCGGACGCGATCGGTCAGGACGACATCAGCGTCCGGTCAGTAGCCGAAAGCTGGGTTTCGCGCCCAATGGCTACTTTCTCTATGGATGGGGCTTATAAAATAGACCCCCCAACCGGCCATTTGAGAAGTGGAGAGCTGAGGAAACATACTAAGGGTGTAGATACATTATTTTAGTGATCTCCACTTGCATAGTGCTTAGTGATTCATTAGATAATTAGCGTATGTGCTTTACGAAGTGGTTAGATTGATTAGACCACCGCTTATGCGCTTGCTCTAGGTTTAGGCCTAGTGTTTAGTGAGGTTTGCACACCTCTTACCACTCGGTGCTTGTGCGCACCATTGTTGTACATCGGAGGGGCTCGTAGTCTTGCGAGATCACACAAACCCGGTGATAGTAAATTAAATGTCTGCCTCTGTAAATCCATTTTGCGAGACGGGCAATTGTAAACGTCTCCGTAAATAAAATGACCGCCTCCAAAAATTCTCATGTATTTTAGGAGACGGTTGTATTTTGTGTTCGCCTGCGTTTATGTTTGGACAGTGTCTCGCAAAATTATTTTTATAGTAGTAGGGCGAAAGACGAAAAAAAGCTCACGGTGGAGGAAACGCGAGCAGAAGGCTGCGGTACTGAAAACGCCGGATGCAGTACAATTCTTTTCCGTCGAATTCCTAATCTATCTAAAAATAATCAAGACCGTTTGGATGGGATACACCCTTGTACTGCTTCCGGCGTTTTCTGGAGAGAAAAAAACTCCCGCTACATTACACCGAAATATTTCATCTTCCCGTCTTTTCTAAAAATATATTTCTATAGGCTTATCGTTTAAAAAACAATTTTAGAGACTGTTTTTGATAGAGCCGTCTCTTCTAGAAAATAGAGGTGTTGCTTAAAAATGAATTATATAGTGTGCATGGAGATGTTTGAGATAGAGTTTGACTATGACCTGTTTCTTTTACTCTTCTTACAACACAAACCTTGGCCAAACTTTATAATGCAAGGTCACGTCCAACCATAGTGGTGAGGTTTTAGAGGTGTTTTTGCCTATCTATCTACAGTCGGCATCTTGGCCAGCAGCAGCGCCCGGGTGATGTCGACGCACAGCCCGGCGTTGCTGACGGCGAAGTCGTCGTACTCGGGCGAGAACACCACCTGCTCGGCGTGCTCGACCACCGTGTCCATGGCGCGCTCCCTGAGCACTGCGCTGGAGCTCAGCTCCGCGACCTCCAGCGTGCTTGGAGGCGTCCACGGCCGCCGCCAGCCGCGCCTCACAGGCCCGCCGCAGGAACGGGACATCGTACTTGTCGGCCGCCACGAGGAGCGCGTGCAGCTGCCGCTCCTCCGGGACCTGGACCGGGACCTGGAGGCTGCCGCCGCCGCCGTCGTCCTCCAGCGCGCCGGTGTAGAGGAAGGCGAGGAAGAGGGCGAGCTCGTCGTGGGTCCGCTCCGGGAGGGAGATGGCGTCGCCGGCGGGGGCCTTGCAGCGCTCGTCGGCGGCCAGCATGTGGCGGAACACCTCCGACCTCGCGGCCTGCGTGCGTGCGTGTGCATCAGATCAGACGTGAGATTAATTATCTCATGGTCTGGTTGGGCTTCGTTTGAAATGCATGCAGGGAATGAAGGCCCACTTGTTAGCAACCAGTATGCAGCCCACTTACTTACCAGGATGGCTTTGTGGGCCGGGATTGGGGGCCCAGTGCCTGGTTTCACGACGATGTCGGTGTGGACTCCCTCCTTCCCTGCGCGAGGAAGGCAGTGCTCTGGTGGGCCTCCTCCTCCCTGCCTCTCATCTCCTTCACCTGCTCCCACGCGTCCTTCGTCCCCTGCATTGGTTGGTTGGTTGGTTCAGAAAACGAACTGAATTCTGTTCGGCAAAAAATCACCTCTGATAGATTTCGGTGTCATCTTGTTGCCTGCTACTACTTTACACTTTGAGCATGGATTGTAAGGCAGAAATCATTTCCTTAATTACATTTACATGTTAGTAGTCTTGGTATTATTCAGGCTTTCATATTGGATTTTCTACCAATCGAAATGGCAGGGGTTAGGGAAAGAGTTGAACGTCTCTACTGAAAAGGCACCAAAATTGAACATGCTGAGAACGAGCTAGGGTCAAGGAAAATACACTCTGCACTGCATTTCTGAGATTTTTGCTGCAAAGCAAAACCTTAGGGAGTTCGGAACCGTATGTTCTAATAACACGACACAGGCGTAAAAGGCGGTTGCTGAAAGGCCTGAAACTAATAACTTTATAAAGACCCGTTAACGTCCGGGGGTCACTTTTTACAGAACCTTTCTATTCTATTGAAGCATGCGTGCAGCAAGATTGTGACATGCAGCTGACTAGAAACCAAACAACACTGGTATATGCTAGCAAAACAAACGTGAATGAACAACTAGCACACCTTATGATATCACAACAAACAACAGTGTTGGTTCAGAAGATTCAGATGTGCAATTCTAGCAGTATGAAAATTCGACAAGAGGATTAGTATTTAATAATGGCATTTTCAACTAGAATGTATTCAGAAACAGTAAGGATCTGAATAATTGGGGAAAATCGTACGTACGTACCTTGGTTGCGCTGTCAGGCTTCATCATGGACACTCTGGACTTGAGAACAGAGCCATGGCCGCCCTCTTCTTGCTGCTGCTCATCAGCCTTGTTCAGAAATCCGATGATGGCCTTGGCGCCCTCGTGGCAGGGAGCACAGATGGTGTTCCTGGGAAGCCTGTACACGGACGCCATGGGGCTGCAGATGCAGCAGTCCATGCTTCCGCTACTGCCGCCGCCGCCGCCTCGCCTTGCTCTCCTTCTTCCTCCTCCCTCTGCTTCTGGTGCTCTGCAGTGGTGCTAACAGCAAGCTGGTCGCCACGGCCTTGCGTTGGGTGAGGGTATAAAAACGAATGCGAGAAGAGAAGAGGGGCAGCCTGCAGGATGGTGTGCTGCGATTTCTTTTTCTAGAACTGGTACGCGGTGGTTGCTGACTGAGACAATCAGGGGAATTGAAATCAAAAAATTCTCCTGGGTTTTCATAAATGTGCTGTGTCTAGTCGGTGTGCTGTGGACACCTCTGTATGCCAAAGTAGTACATTGACTAAACTGACCTCGCCCGCGTATCTCTCCTCCTTTTTTCAGTTCATTCAGATGGAATGATTATATGATGGATCGACGAAAGATTATTAGTAGTACAACAACTAATCATCATGCAAAATATATGGTGCTAAATAAAGTACGAGCAGGCATTTGTCTTTCTGGATTATTTCACTTTCAGTGCAAGCTTAGGTACAATTGTCCATTGTTGGCCAAGCTAAGCTAACTACTGTGTACCTAAAACAGGCTGTTCATGGACAGGACTGTAGAAACGTAGAGGGTACGTTGTACCAAAGACTTTTTAAGACATAATTAGTGCAGATGAAAATCTGCTTAGTTGACCCCAAATAAAGTATTCGCAGATAAGATTGGACATTTTTGGCTCTATAACTTTTTATCGGTTTCGTGGCTAGCTTGGGAACTGAGATAAACAGGACAAGCTAGAAGGAATGTGAAACCCAAATTATCAAATGAAATGAAAATGTTGTAGTATATAAACTTAGCTGCTGCCAAAGGATGGCTAGTCCAGTTGGTTAACTAAGATATGCTAGTCACTCCGGCGGCACCCTTCAGGTCCTGAGTTCGACTCCCAGTGGGAGCGAATTTCAGGCTGGGGGTTAAAAAAATCCCCTCGCCGGTCCCGGGTGCCAAAGCACTGGTTTAAAGGAGACGGCCCATCTCACGGATTACATCTCCAAAGGTGTCGGGCGGGGCCAAGGTTCAGGGTTTTCTCGGCCTGTGTGAGAAGGCCTTCTTCTTCACGTATAATGCCCGGGGCGGCTTGCCCCTCGCAGACTTAGCTGCCGGAAGGACAGCACAGTCTTTTCCTCTCATGAGAATCCCTATAATCAAGTAGACACGCCAGAATAAAATTGAGATAAAATGATTAGGATATATGATTGCATGATTATAAAATGAATGAAGAGAAGAATCATCACATCATCGACCAGCAGTAGGTTGCTTGAGAGGGACTTTGCAACCTAAACATAAAAGAGAGTTAGAGACTTGGACTTTTGTTGGGGAAAGGAAAAAAAAAAAAAGGTGGATGTTGGAGGCTTGGAGGGTGGCACGGCTTAGCTAGCCTAATTAACGCTTCCATAACAAGGCTGTGTGTGTTAACCACTATCCTCCCACTCACCCGACATGTGGGCCCTCGCTCGGTCTCTTTCAAGTCATGCTGCGCATGCATGGCAGAAGAATAGTATATATGGAACTGCTGCAACGTACTGGTGTCATAGTAGGGAGAAAAAGGATGAGATTGTTTTTTTCTCTCAAAAGTAGTATATATGAAAGGGGATGAAAAAATGTAGTTTTTTTCATAAAAAGAAGGAAAAGAAAAGAAAGCTTGCATGCTTACTAATAATTAGTGTAATAATCATTGTCCCAGTAGGGAAAACATAAAAGGGGTAATGATCATGCAAGTAATGAAGTTGTAAAGGCAATTGGAGTGAGGACATCCGTTGATGCATCTAATAATTCAAACAATGACGGTGAGGATTTGTTGGGTTGGTTGGTTACCGTAAGTTATAATAGTGTTGCTCATAAGTTACGTGGCAATAATTTATCTAATTCTCAATAATTCTCAACCTAATATTAAAGAGCTAGCGAAACATTTCTTTCAATCCGCTTTTTTCCTTCTCTAACTTTGCTTCATTCATCCCGCTTTTTATTTCTCAAATTGTCCTTGTGCTCGATCCGTATCATGTCACCTAGATTCATGATCTATGCTCAACGAGTTACAACATATTGTCTCCAGTCTTAGTATATGGCGATCTATCCCAAACAACCAAACTGTCCTCGCTCCCTTTGTATCCCCCGTACACAATATAATTAGTGTTTTTTCATGTTTTTTTCCTTCAGTGACAGGGATATGATTGTTTGCATGATGCATGGACGCATCTCAATGCGGATGGCTCCCTTTGACCTCCTGTCCTTTTATATATGGTGCCCATATCATTATGGCTGCATATGCATAGTTTTTGCAAACCCCCCATCCCCAACTAAAAAAAAAGCTGCATATATATATACACTAGTATTTGTCGCAGTAGTAATGGAATAACGGTGTGCAACGTATCTGAGTGCATGATTGATTTGTGGTAAATGGTTCTCGTAGACCACGTCATGGCCAATCACCGCAGTGTGGAGGGGAGTGACCCACAGCAGGCCCACACATACATGGGCTCCTTCCTGGGTTTATGGGCCATGATGAAATGGAGTCTGGCACTTGCGCACTGGGCCACATCCACATGCACGGCCTTGGCCTTCATCCACATATGTTCTGACACGTGTGTGCCTGTCATAAGAAAAACTGACACGTGTGGAGAGGGAGACCTGGGCGTCCTGTCAGAAGGTGTGGGAAAAGAAAGGGGACATGGCTAGCGCGCGGACATTCGGACACTAGCCCCCGTCCGGATGTCTGCGCCCCCGTCCCTTGTCTCCCATCTATCCGTCCATGTCCCGCCTGTTGCGCCCGCCCACAAGCATGAGAGGCCCGTCCACGTCAGTGGGGACCGCCTCCGCCTTCCGGTGCCTGACACCGAGGTGAGATAGTAGAAAAGACGAAGAGGGAGATGCAATACTCGATCTAGTTTAAAAACGTCCAGATGCAACAATTGCAAAATACGTCTGAAAATAAATGAAATATTTAAAACATGCGTCTGAAACACTTGCAAAAACACCTAAAACACTTCAAACCACTGTAAACATACGCAATATCCAGATAAAATATTTGCATCATATGTGTGAAAACATATGCAATATCCAAATAACACATTTGCAACATATGTCGGAAAAACAGATGAAACATTGAGAACGGGAGCTTACAGCATGCATGTACAACCATTGCAACATGTGCAACATCTCGATCTACTTTTTGCAACATCTGTATGAAGCACTTGCAACATACCTCTGAAATATTTGAAACACTTAAAACAAACGCTTGCAACATGCAGTTTCAGCATAAATATCACCTTACTGCTTAGGAGATTGGAGACTCGTTGGCATAGGAAGTTCGTCGGAGGCAGTGGCCTCGCGCCGCGCCTGGCAAAACCGGTAACCGAGCGCCGCGACTCCTAGGCGGCTACGCGCCTGGCAGGACCGACAGCCGCGCTGACGCGACTCGCAGGTAGTCACGTGTCGAAACCAGGAGAGGACAGTTGTGCGTCGCATCTAGTAGGGCTGGCAGTTGAGCGTCACATGCAGGAGCGGAGCCCGAGCCGCGTCCGGGAGCGAAGCGGAGCGGGACGACGCGTGCAGGAGTTAATTTTGTTTTTTATTAGGCGAGTGGAGCGTGCTGCGATGGGTGGAGCGGCATTACCGTAGTTAATCGGAAGCTGTTAAAAGCTGCAACGAGAGCATTTGAGGCATTGTTGGCTCCTTCGCAAATTGACGCGTGGCCACTACACGTTTCGCAAAAACACCCTCTTTCTTTTTAGAAACTAACCCACCATCTAGAGCCTCGCTCGCCGCTCGGCGGCACCCGGCACACGGCTTGGATCACGCCCAAAACCCTAGCCGCTGTCATATCTTATCTCCCCTCAGCCTCGCTGTGCCAGAGAAGCACTCCTCGATCTACAGGGGAGGGCGGTGTGTGGCCATGGCCACACCACGGTGGGGCGCGACGATGCTCTCGTGGTTAGAGCAACAACCCTGAGTCCCCAAGGCGATGACAAGATCTAAAGGTACGAGCAAGCAACTTCTCCTTTCCCTTCTCGTGCCTTATCTCTACCTCCTCTCTGAGATCCATTCGCTGGAGCTGAGCTTGATCTCTCTCCCTCTCAGATCTGACCACGAGCTCCTCAGCGGCACGAGCATACGCTCGGACGGAGCTTCTGGGTGGCATCTTGGGGACTCATCGGCGGTGGTGCACAAGGCCTCCATATCGGGTAGCAATACACTTGTTTGCTATGTTGAGGGTGTTGATTTGGTGCTGCTTGGGGAACCCCAGGTGGAGGCCTATGTTGTGGTACTAGAAGATTGCACACCTCCTCAATCATCAGGCGCTGACCCACCTTGGCAAAGTGAAGCTGGCTACGACTACATATCGGTTGTTACTTTCTCCTATTCGAGTGTTCGTGCTGCCATCCTCACAGGCGATGCCATCTCCCCTGTTTTCCACTCCACATAGCAGGTGCAGTGCTCCCTCTGATCATTTTTCTTCTCCACCATCCCCTAGATTTCCTGGCTCCTCCAATGTCAGTTAAGGTATGTAGTGAACAAGAGAAAAGATCCGGGTCAATTTAAATCTAACAGTATTTGATTCATTAGGGCTGGTATGTGATTGTTCGCGTAAATACAAGTTTGTTCTAGCTATAACTTTATTCGTGTGATGATAAAAAATTGGATCGTTTGTTTCTACAATAGTATTTTTATTACACTATAGTATGGTAGAGATGCATCTCGTGTTAATTGACTTTCAGAGTTTCCATTTTTTGATAGGGTTAGTGTTAGCCATATTAGCTAAGTGTACTGATGAAACTTAATAGTCATCCACACAGTGGTAGAATTTACCATGGTTTCCAAGGTGCATTAATGGTTGACAATGAGTAGTGTCTTACTGAAATGCAATACTCTGAAAGTATGAACTAATCTAAGCCTTACTCTTAAACCATTTACTTAATGCCTTCTTGCAGGTCTCAGTTATTATCGTCTTGAGCCTTCAGTTATCTATTGTGAAAGCA